AACATCATAAACTGCATTTTCAACTTACATTAGGTTTATCCAGACATAGCCCCACCATAAGTCGAGTAGCATACTGAATGCATATTGCTTTTGCACCATCATAAGGTCCAAAAATTGTAAGTCAATTTACTATCATAAGTCAGGGAGATCTGTATTGTAAAGCAGAATGACTGCTTTGGGATCAAAAGAACATTTTACTCCTCATTTAAAAATTTCCCCTACTTTTCCCAGACAAATAGATAAAGATGATTACTGGTTGAGAATTCATCATTAGCTGATAAAATTATAAATACTAAGTATATAATCTCTGAGGATACAAGCCACCTCTAGAAATAATGTATGACAGAAAGTGCCTTGTTGACAAATGGGAGAAAACAGCTAAGGTGGCTGGTTCTGCAGTGACAGCCTCCCGGTAAGGGTCAAGTAAGGACTTCCAGATTATTCTTTCTCCAACTCAGAGCAGTTCCCCTGAATGGCTGGCATTGGTCATCTACAGGCTTCAGAGGCCTGGTGTCTTCAGTTGACCCTGACATGTAGGCCTCTGGGATCCCCCAGAATAGCTCTGGCCTCTTGGGTTTCCCATTCTCCTCCCTCAGAACAGCTTAAGACAGTCTCCAGGTCAAGCTGGGCAGGCTGCCTGAGTACCCATGACATCGGACTTTGCAGTGACAGCAACAGTTCAGGGCACCAGAGTGACATCTATGTGGGACCCTCTATTTTCTAACTAATCCACAAATGAGGAAAGCTCCCAGGAGGCGATTATGTAGTGGTTCAGACTATTGTCTTTAGCAACAGGCAGACCAGGGTTCAAGTTCTACTGACTGTATGACTTAGTCTTTCTAAAGCTCAGTTTCCTCGTCTGTAAAGTAGGATATTTGTGGAGTTGAGAGAGAGCACATATGACAGGTTCAATACAGTTCCTGTCACATAGCAGATGCTCAAGAAATAATTAAATATCCTTATTTCTCCATCACGTAAGAGGTTGGGCCAAAAACCACTGAAGTTCTCACGTACTTAACGTGAGTAACTTGATGGAACAGTTGTTAAATATCTACACTTCACCCATCTCCGAGCTCAGCAATGCAGGGGCTATAAGAGAAATATAATCAGGACCCAACCCCTGACTTCAAGTCACCACAGTTATAAGTAACGATGTCTTACATTTTTTCTTTGTAGCTGACTTCCACACCTTTAATCCTCCCAACAAACCTGGGAAGCAGATGGTCTTTTCACTCACTAATGAGACGACTAAGGCCCAGAGGGTCTGAGCCACCTGCCCACTACTCAGGCAACTCAGCGAAGGTCACTGCAGACCTTCTGCCCTGAGGCCTGGTTTCATTTCTCTCCCACACCCCATCCCTGTGTATAGGACAGTACTTCCTAGAGCCTCAGAATCCCATCCTTTCCAGCCCATGCTTTTCCCTTCTGCAATTCACACTTCCACCACGTAATGTTCCCTAGTTTCCCCGCTAAGCCAGCTATAGGGGTGGGCCATGTTACAAGGTTGGAAAAAAAATAATCCCACTTTGGCGTGAAAGAAAATAAATGCATCAGATAAAACACAGTTGCTTTGGGAAGTCATCACAGAATTTTATATATAATGAACCATACTAGAAATTGTAATACAACAAAGATTTAAGTGTCAATGGCCGACCAGGCATCTTGCAAAAGTTGCATGTTGGAAGTCTTTACAACCACAGGTTAGAGAAAGGATGCAGTTTATTGGTCATGCTTCTCATTTTCCCCCCCATGAACCATTAAAATACTTAAGCACCATAAAATTCAAGCATTTCACATGCATGTGGCAGTCAGCCTTGGTGGTTTTAAAAGCATTATGCAGAGTTTGGGGTAGATAATAACAGTGACAATTGCAGAGGACTAATTTCTAATGTCAATTGTTTGTTCCCTGCAGAACTTACTGATAATGTCCCTGCAGGAAACTGTGATTTTTGTGTGTGTGGTATGGTAACTTTGAGAATTGAAATAAAACAGCATTCCCAAAACACATTAAGAATTGGCCACATATAAATAATTCTAATCAGTAACTTATATGCCCTGTGAGAATAATTCTGTGTAATAAAAGGCCAAGAAATATTTTTCATATTAGTTTATTTTAAATAGATATGACCATGACAAATGTGTGATGCTTTTTATGTGCTAGACAGATAATCTAACTTAATTTTTAGTGCAAGAGTAGGTGTTACGTCCCATCTTATAAATAAGGGAAATAAGGCCCAGGGAGATAGCAGAACTCACCAAGGGTAACACAGTGGGAAAGTGACAGACCTGGGTTCAACCAGCTCTGAAGTCCTCATCTTTCTACTGTGTAACAGTTATCAAATTATTCTGATGAGCTGATAGAAACACAAATCTAATATAATTTCCAGGTATACACAGAATGGTTTCCTTTATTATAATCTATAAGAGGCAAAAAATAAAATCTTTGAGTAAATCCAGTTTTAGTGGACCATTCAATTGACTTTTTCTAAGCACCAATAACATGTACACAAACATTGTAGAGGCGATTTTGTACAAGAAAGCTCTTAAATCATGAGGGAATACACGTTACAGTACGAGTCAAGTCATATCACATTTCAGTGAAGGGTCTTCTCTCAGCCAAATCTCTCACATGTCATCATTTCTGAAATTTCAGTTTATAGAAAGGTAAGAATTTATTTCGGGGGGCAAGGAAGTGATGGTTTAAGCTTTTTAATGGGCTTTCTGGCAATAACTGTAAAAGGAGATTGTGGTATTCTGAAATAAGCAAAGGTTTGTACAGTTCTTGTTACCATTTTGCCAATGAGGACCTTACATGCACAGCTGAACACCTAATGCCTAATGGTGTTTGTGAAATTGTCATTGGAAAAAAAAGTTGTCAGTAATGTGCTCAGCTCTGTGCTAGGCACTGTGCATACAAAAATGAATAAAGCATGGTCCCTGCCCTCAAGAGGCTTACATTTTAGCAAGGAATGAAGGAAGTGCACTGAGACATCAGAGGAGCAATGGAGGAATGGAGAGAAAGAGGACAGCCCCATTCAGTGTACTGAGAGCAGCAGAAGGGAGCCCAGGTCTCCCTGGGGGAATTCATAAACACACCCCCTGCTAATTCAGTCTTTAAAGGTGAATCGGTGTCTGCCAAGTAGACTGACCTGAGGGAGGACATCACTAGTAGAGCAGGAGCAAGGTCACAGAGATACCGTGTTTGCAGAAATGCACACAGTTCATGGTGACCAGAGATAATCCTAGAGGTAAGCCACGGACAGTTCCCTCTGGAAGTTTCACCCCACGTGAAGTCATTTGGACTTCATGGCAGTGGAGTCACTGAAGGATTTTAATCCAAAGGATAACAAAACCAAGTTTGGATGGATCTTAGATGATGACTGGGATTCGAACCTGGAAGCACCAGTTGGGAGATGCCTATTGCAAGCCTATAGGTGGAAGAGGAAGCTGTATTAGCAGGTGCCCAAGTCTAGGGAGGAGGTAGCCATCCACGGAAAGTGGTCGAATGAGTGGGTTTCAGTCTAAGGAGTACCAGGGCATAAGGACCAGCCAGTCACAGCATGGAGACCTGCCTGGATGAAGGGGCTCCCCTCAGTGGGGATGAGAACCCAGAAGGAGATAACCCAGCCCTCCTGCAGGTGCATTCCAACACACAAGGGGAAGGGATGGTCCTTGGGAAGGAGATTTTGATAACAATCATCACCAGTAATGGCTTAGGAGAGCAACTTTAAAGCTTTGTTCAGCACTGTCTTGGAGAAAGGATATTTTAAAGCAAAGCACATTGATATATAACCAGGTGAAGAAAACAATGGCTCAAAATAACACGGTCTTCTCTTCCTAGAAATTAAATACTTTTTTTCCTAGAATTTAAAATACTTTTCAAAATCAGAAGTCAGCTTTTGTGCTGCATTTAGAGAGAGGGCTTTTTTGATATTGGTAATTTGAACAGTCTTATACGTGGCATTTCGGGCTCACTGTGGAGTATACTGTCCACTTAATTTAGCCTGTTTTTGTTTTTTTATTTACTCATAAAGCTTATTAAGATAATATTCTAATGCCAAAATTTAGCAAGTAACATGTGTTTCTCATATTCCATTTATCACCCTTACCTCTTCCCAGAATATGTTCTCATACTAAGTTCATGATGAATAATATGAACTCAGAAAGCTTGGCTTTCGGTAATAGATAAAGCTGTTGGAAACAGAAAAGTAATTATAAATAAAGTTGAAATTGGCTTAAATTTCAGGTGCTCAAAAATACATATATATTTTTTTTTTTCCTTTTTGTCTTTTTTCGTGTCCGGCAATGGATCGCAACCCTCAGTGTCACGCCCGTACTGGACCGGGACCGGCAACGGGATCACAACCCTCAGTGTTGCACCCACACCTCGCTCAGCCAGTGAGCAGGAACCGGTCTGTATGTGGGATCCGAACCCTTGGCAGGAGCGCCGCCGCGCTCCCAAGCAGCGCACTGTAGCAGTGCACCACCGGGCCGGCCCAATCAAAAATATTTAACATGCCATAGGATGTTTTTTTTAAAAAATCAAATAGGTCAAATGAACTAGGAAATATTCTGCTACATCAAGAAAATATTTCACCTTAAAACGTATTTTTTTTTTTTTTTTAGCCAAAAAGTACTCAGAATAAATTGCCATCCTGGGGGCAACCCATAGCAAAACTCATTTGAAACGTGTTTCACATAGAAGAGCTCATTACTCAGAGTTTGCCAAAGAAAACATTTCTTATAAAAAAAAATTTTAATTGAGTTTTTCTTCTTTCAATTATTTTTAAGTACACTGAAACTAAGCACTAAAATCAGTGTACTCTCATGAGAAACTTCTTTAGTTTTCTCTAAAATGATGTTTTAGATGAGGAAAGCAAGTTTCCTCAAAATCTTTTTCAATGAATCTTTTGATTTTTAGGATTACACCACTGAATTCCTAGCAATATGAAAAAATAGATCTTTTGCTACTCAGAAAACTTACTCATTATAAATTGACATACCTTCTAAACTTTTATAGAAAATACTAATGCCAAATGTCAACTGCTGCCTTGGTACAATACTGATATAAAATATGAGAATGTTTTTAAAATTGGCAAAACAGATGCTCCTATAAAAATCAATCACAAGAACATAAATTCAAATTACAGATTTTCTTTGTTTCATTTAAAGATAGCACCACGTCTTCCTGGTGGGGTGACCCTGACTTAAATGAATCTTCTTACCTAGGTTTAATTAAGTCGGCCCTTAATTTTCTCCCAAGTGCATAATGATAGCTCTGTCACTTTCCTGTGTGAGCTGCTATTATGTGTGCAGAGGAAAAGTGTCCATTGTGAGCTGCGGGCTCTCCTGGGGAGGGGAGCGAGATGCTTTGTATGAACCATGTGCAGCCTGACTAAGCCCCATGTGGCTTCAGTCCCATTAGCACACAGCTCTGAGGACATGCTGGACCCCGACTGGGGAAAAGCGGTCTGTTTAGAAGTTCACTGCAATGGGGAGTCCATTTTTGTGAATCACTACCTTAATATTCATTAATAGCTTTTAGGCTGTTAATCCCTTATTGAATACATTTTATTCCATAAATTGCTACTTTTCAAAAGGGTTGCCAAAGTAAGCATTTCTATTCTCTGAAAAACGCAGAAGAGAACATAATGTTTTATATTCATCTGTGATGTGTTTATGCTAATGTCGCATCTCTGGAATATGGAGACTGCAGGCCTTCCTGGCATAATGATTTATTCTGCTTTGAAATGAACTGTTAATACTGGCGGTGTGGGGTGTTTTTTTTTTTTTTTTTTTTTTTTTTTTTTTTTTCTTTTTCTAATCTCTTTGGGTCATGGTTTCAGAATTATTTAAAGTGCATGGAAAAATACATTACAGAGGAAATCATTTTGAAATGTTGGAAACCTCTATTTTCTAATTTCATTTGTTGGCCTATTTATTTTTTCCTGTAAAAATCCATCCAGAAGCCCACTGTATTATAGAGTAATGGACTTCACTTGTTTGAGGTGCTATTAACCAATGAATGAAGTTTTCAGTAATATAATTTGTAATCTGGCCTTTATCATCTACTTGCCTTCCTGTGAATTAACGTATTTTTAAATAAAGCCAGTTCTTCCACCATCCTCAATAAGAATATGGGGTTTCATCCAGATCTGTAGGTCCAAACAAATCCATACACGTGGCATTTGCTTAATTCTGAAGGAACAAAGGAAGGAATTAGAGGACTAGAGGAGTAACCACATTGAAACGGAAGGAACATGAAAGTGGATTCCGAAATGAGCACCACTGAATCTCTGAGCACGGCCTAGGAAGTCTTAGGCCTCCCTAGGAAGTTTCTGTGGCAGCGTGTTGGTGAATTTTGCATTCTCTAGCTATTCTTCACGCAGACCCGGCACCTGCTAATTTTCTGGCGCTGGGCTTGGCTTTCTTTTAAAGTGTCTGGTGACGGTGCAGAGGAAAACTGCAAGTCTGGTTTCACCGTTGTCAGCCAGAAGCTATACTCATTTGCAAAAAAGTGGCAAGTTCCCTGCCGGCCTTGGCATTCAAGGAATGGTGCCGCTCTGAAATCTTCCAGGCAGCTGCCAGGTGACATGAGGGCCTGCCCTCCTCCTTGGTCCCCAGCTCCTGTGTGCTACCCAAACAAGAGAGAATTAGGGCTCAGACACATGCAAAGGACTCCAGACCCAGTCAGTGACATGCCCAGGACTGGGCCTGATTTTAACATTTTGCCTTAAATTATTCCACGAAGAACAAAATACAGTCTGCTAAAAAAAAAAAAAAAAAAAGATGTAATAAGCACGTTGGGTGCGCATACTTCACTGACAGTAAAGCAAATCCATCTTCTAAATTCTACCAAAGTGATACAAATATTAATTGACAATAAAAGAAGTAATAACGGCCCTGCATCTCAACAGGCTACAGTTTGCAGCAGCCTTCCTGGCCTTCTGTCCTACCACTGTCTGCACAGAGTGCACAGAATTACTGTCCAACCCAGGCAGAAAGGGCAGAGAAGGTGTTAAAAAGGATGCAAGGCCAGGACAGGATTCCAGGCTGTCACTCACCATCAGGAACGAGTACCCGACCCAGAGGCTCCTCCAGGCCGGCGGACATGGGGGGATAGACTGATCCTGGCTGTGCACGGCCACTGCCACCGCCGGGGCCTCGCACACGGCGCAGTGGCTGACGTGGGGCCGGATGTCCTCCTCCGAGAGCGGCCTTGCGGGCAGGGGGGCGGCGCTGGCCAGCCAGTAGGACCTGTCGTTTCTGCGGGCATAGTGGCACACCTGGTGGACGTTGCAGTAGGCGAAGGGCAGCGTGCTGAACACGGGAAGGCAGGACCCTGCCAGACCTTGGGAGGGAAGAAGAGACAGCGTGGTGTCACAGCAGCCTGGGCTGGAGTGCCCAGTGACCCTCGCTGCACATGGCTAGCGCATGCACGTGCTGGCGCCTGGAGGCCCTTGCCAAAGCCTACTTCTGTGGGGAGAAGCCATTTCTGCCACCTTCCTTGTCCTGTGGGCTGTTCCTCCCTCCACCACTCCACCCACTCGTCCCCTCGCTGATGAGCCCAGCCAGGCCCTGTGCTGCAGGCGAGCAGCAAACTCTGTTTCCCCGAAGCACAGGCCTAGGCAGGCGTGTGAACAGAAGGCCACACCACAAGCCCTAGGAACTGGAGCGGGTACCAGGAGCTATGGCAACTGAAGATGTGATTTTGGCTGGCATTTGGAATCTGAAAAGGATTTTGCCAGGTTTGGAGATGGTGGTGGGACCTGGTCAAAGGTGAAAATGCAGGGCTGGTGGCTAGCTCATTTGGTTAGAGCTGGTGCCAAATACCAAGGTCCAGGGATCGATCCCTATTATCAGCCAGCTGCCTTTTTTTTTTTTTTTGTGGTGAGCTATGGCAACTGAAGATGTGATTTTGGCTGGCATTTGGAATCTGAAAAGGATTTTGCCAGGTTTGGAGATGGTGGTGGGACCTGGTCAAAGGTGAAAATGCAGGGCTGGTGGCTAGCTCATTTGGTTAGAGCTGGTGCCAAATACCAAGGTCCAGGGATCGATCCCTATTATCAGCCAGCTGCCTTTTTTTTTTTTGTGTGGTGGCTGGCTGATAACAGGGATCGAACCCTGGACCTTGGTGTTATCAGCACCACACTCTAACCCACTGAGCTAACCAGCCAGCCCTTAATTTTTTTAAAAAAAGGAGATGGAGCAGTAGAGAGGGCCAGAGATGAGGGAGCACAGAGCTCAAAGAACTCAAACAAATTCAGTGGGGAAACCGGAGAGAGGGTGTCTCTGTGTGTGTCTGTCTCACGGGTATCCCGAGATAGACAGGAACACAGGATGTGGGCTTTATCAATATTGTTAAGGAGGTTGGGTTTTATCCCAGGAATTCTGCAGAACTTTGAGATGTGCACTCTGGCTAGACCAGGGCAGGACAAGCAAGGCTGGCAGGGCAGAGACCAGACAGGAAAGGACTGAGGGCAGGAGGGACAGAAGGAGAGAAGGAAACATGGAGGTATTAAACTTTACTTCTTCCTCTCTCCTGTGCTCAAGGAAACCAGGCCCTGTGATGAGAAAGGCCAGGACTGATGTATAAAAAACCACCACCCCTAGGCCTGCACTCTGACCAGCCTCACTGACAGCTGGTGTCACAGCCAATGACAGCAGTGACAAGACACACCTCCCCATCCACCTCCCTGTTGGCAGATCCTTCGCACACCCCCACCTGAACCACTGCAGTCTTGGAAAGACAGGGTTTGCCAGTGCCCAGGCACTTAAACCCTTGACTTCAAATCGGTCCCTGCAGCTTACAAATCTACTATTGAAAGTTGGCAAGGAGCATCAGGGGATGACCTCAAATAAGTCCTGTGATGTAAAAACACATCGGAGTGGACGGGACTGATGCTGGCAAGGCCCATCACATACGACCATCAGGGTGCAGTCGCTGTACCATTTGATGTATAAGACAGAAACTGGCCTGATTCAATAATTTACATTTGGAAGTAAAAACTGCATTTTATATGTTCCATTTAACATGCTGAGGAAGAATCATTTTTCAAAAACTAGTAAGTACTCAGATATAATAATAACTGTAGCCAAAATAAGCTGCTTTGGCACCTCATAGGATCATACGTTTAATAGGATTAGTTGAGAATTAGCATGGTAGTTTTTTTTTTTTAAAGTAATAATTCCATAGAGGATTAGTGATCATTTAAGATGTTGATGAATCTGTAAAATTAACCCCAGCGTTTTACTCTTTAAGCAGCAGATACAGGTGAGCATGTGGTATATGCATACCAAGGTCCTGATTGTGAGCTTTCTCTTGTCCTTCCAGGTATAAGAGACTATACCCCGTCCAGAGCCTGGGCATGCCCATGGGGCAGGCGGGTTCTCGATCCGTCTGACTATGGAGAACGAGGAGGAAGCCACTGAGGTGTCCAGGGCCAAGCCCTTTGGGCCCAGGATCCCCAGTGGGACCAGGAGGGCCTGGAGGAATAAAGGAAGAAAAAATGAAGACAGTTGAGGGGGTTCAGTGTAATGAACATTTCCGAGCATCTCTGATCGGTGCTGTGCTAAGCACTCAGGGAACGGAGGGGAGCATGACACAGCCGCTCCCCAGGAATGACCCCCTCACCGACTGCAATATGCACAAACCCAACTCATTCCACAAGTATTTGCTCCAAGGGAGGTCTAGGTGCTTGGACTATATTAGCATAAAAACAGAAAACGGGAAAATCTCTGCCCTCCTAGAGCTTAGGGGCCACTTGAGGAAGAGAAGTGACAAACCATAAGTACAATAAAAAGGTCAATTATGCACTAGGTTAGGAAATGGTAAGTGCTGAGAAGCACAGAAGTGGAACAGCGCAAGGACACACCCCACGCGTGGACCCCCTGCCTCCCCAGACCATGCTGCTGAGCAGGTGGCCTCCAAGGTGGTCTTTTTTACACTGCCCAGACCGCTCTCATGGTTCCAGCATATGATCAGTTCCAGCGTGAGAAGGGCAAGAGCTTGGGATCCACATGTATGACTTTGGATCTCTTCTTTTATAAGGGAGGTGGAAGAAAGAGCTTGTTCTAGAATTCTTGCTGGCAGATGGGAAATAAACGTGAGCAGGGTCTGTCATTTTGGCACCTCTAAGGGGCTGACCTGTTGAAGAAAGCCAATGCCCATTTCAATTGACAAGAACAAAAGGGGGAGTTAGACTCTGAAACCAAAAGGTGTGTTTCGTTTTGGGTTTTGTTTTTGTTTTTTTCTTTTTTGACCTGTTTCTGCAAGACTGACAGGCTCGCCCCATCTACACTGTAAACTAGAAATTACAACGTGCCAGCCTGCTCATGGGTTTTGTTTGACATGAGAAGATTTTGCAAGTTGAAGTTCTGAACTTGAAAAAAGCAGAGTGTAGGGAACATTGGGCCCATGTTTCTACAGGCAACGCTTGGCTGAAGCTGAGCTGCAGCTTTGGGACTCAAGCTCCACTTTGCTGCAGACCCCACCCAGCCCTCTTCATTCATCCCTCCCCATCACCAATCTGGCCCTGGAGTTTACAGCCCTTGCCAGATGCTCTCTGAAGATGAGACTGCGTCTTGGAGGCTTTGGGTGCCCTGGTGCATTCTACTTCAAATTTCTACCTGGAAGAGTCGTATCTCTTCCCTTGCTTAGTGATCACACCCTAATTTTTTTCCTAAGAGCCCTGTATTCTACGTAAATGTATTGATGGCTGGACAAGATAAAGTGAACTCAGAAAACCAGAGGCCAAGCAATCCAGCCACTTGCAGAGGGTGAGAACACACCCACCGTCCCCAAGATCCTCAGCAGAGAGTGACCACACAGCAAGCCAAGCTGACGGACCCCCCCAGGACCACAAAAAGGAAACAGCTGAAACAGTCGAGCCTTTTATGATGTACAGCAGTGTGGGAAAATACTGGACAGGAGACAGAGCCTTGACTAGTTTTTATGACGGTTTAGTATCCATTAGAACACAGTAGATGCACCCTGCTCTGTTATCCCCAATACCTGGTGAGTTGATATCTAAGGCAAATGCTTTTAATAGGATCCAGCTTGGAAAGCTGCTTGAGAGGGCAGAGATCTTTCTGGACAGTTCTCAGATCTCCATTGTCAAGAGAAAAGAGGAGAAACTGAAACTCTTTACCTGGTGCTCCAGGGAAGCCAGCTTCTCCTGTGTCACCTTTGCGCCCGGGAGGCCCAGGAAACCCGGGGACACCATCCTTGCCCCTCCTGCCATCCAGCCCGGGTTGTCCTTTGCAGCCTGCACAAAAGTTCACAGTGGTGAAAACAGTCATGCCACACGCTAGCAGTTACTGCCTGGGTACCATGCGCCAACCCTCGGCTTCCTTCCCACTTGACTGTATTGCATCAGCTCATTTAGTCTCCCCTGCAGCTGGGATTATATGTGCAATCTCAGGTGGGGTCATTGAGGCTCTGAGAGGCCAAGTAACTTGCTTAATTAAGTCAGTGAGCCAATAAAGGGCTGGGCCAGGATTTGAAGCTAGACTAGGGAAGTGCTGAGAGAGATTTTCACATTTTCTTCATATTCTTGAACATTTGATTTTTTAAAACAACACTGAACATGCATGGCTTTTATAATTAAATATTAGCCTTAATAATAATTTTTAAAAGCCTGGATGGAGGAATGAATGAAATTTAACAGGATTCAGATGGAGGTCAAGTTAACTTTGGAGCAAGGTAAGAGCAGCATTTTTTTTTAAGTAGCTTTTTATTGAGTGTTTATAATGTGCTAGGCACTACACAAATCCCTTTACTTGGATTATCCAATTCAATCTTCCCAGCAGCCATATGACTAAGTACTGTCATTTGCCAGTTTAACCACTGAAGGGACTCAGGCTCAGAAGGCCACAGAGCTGATCACGTGTGAGAAGAACTTGGGCCCAGGGGGCCCAGTACAGAGGTTGCACCATTGACTTCATGCCCTGCCCTGGCCACGGTGCAGAGCTCAGGTGTGCTCGGGCAGGATGCAAGCCGGGGCCTGGCAGCAGTCACACTGATCCTCGAGGTTCTTAAGTGCTTAGTTACTTTTTCGTTGGGACATCCGTTAATCAGCCATACTCTCCCTTTGGGCAGGGCAGCAGCCAAAGTCACTGTCTTCAGAGGAGTCTATTGCCATTATCCCTTATTCCCTGAATTATTAGCCCTCTTAGGATGCAAGCCGGGGCCTGGCAGCAGTCACACTGATCCTCGAGGTTCTTAAGTGCTTAGTTACTTTTTCATTGGGACATCCGTTAATCAGCCATACTCTCCCTTTGGGCAGGGCAGCAGCCATAGTCACTGTCTTCAGAGGAGTCTATTGCCATTATCCCTTATTCCCTGAATTATTAGCCCTCTCCAGCTTTCCAGTCCTTACTTGTAATTCGCTCTCTCTGCCATGAAGTAGCCTATTATGGGCTCATTTGTGTCAGGGCCCAGCAATCTGCATTTTAACAGTCTCTCCGCAGGAAGCATGAGAGCCAAGGCCTTTAAATGTTCCTTGCAAGCCTCCCTCCCTGCTCCAAGTTAAGTTCCCCTGTGACAAATTCCCACGTTACCTTTGTTAACACTGAACACATCTGTACCCATTTGGTCAAAGCCTTCATTTTCCGCTAGCTTGTTGTTCGCACTAAAGCAACCATTAAATAATTCGTGAATGTGATGGTTAAATAAATTATGGCACAATCATATAATGCAACATTTTGCAGCCACACAGATAATATTGTAGGAAAATATGTAATGACGTAGAAGTGATGACATGTTAAGAACAGCAACTTACAAAACAGTGTGTATAGGACGATCTCTTTTTAAAAACATACGCAGAAATAAGACTGGAAAGATAGGCAATCATACCTTGGTTATGTGTTTTTGTTTGTTTGTTTGTTTTACTTTTGAAATAAAGAATTTTTTTCCCTTTACCAAATAACTCCCGGGAGGCTGACGGTACCATCTCCCATTTCCTCCTGCACCTCTCCCTGCACAAATGGTTCTCAACAGTAGGTGGCTCTGCCCCCCCAGGGGACATTTGGCAATGTCTGGAGACATTTTTGGTTGTCACATGGGGAAGGCTGCTGCTGGCATCTAGTGGGATAGAGGCCAGAGGTGCTGCTGCACACTCTACAATGCACAGGACAGCCTCCAAGTCAAGGAATTATCTGGACCCTGTTGTCAACAGAGCCGAGATTGAGGAATGCTCCTGTACACTGTGGGCTACATCCAAGGGTCATTTATTCATTCACCAAATATTTATAAAACACCTCCATGACCCAGAGCTGTGTAGGAATACAACACTGAATAAGAAAAACAAAAAAACCCTGCCCTTGAGCTGCTATGGTCTCTAGAGCAAGGGTTAGCAAATTACAGTCTTGGGCTGCCCAGTGCTAGCTTTTGTAACTACGGTTATATCGGAGCACACTCATTTATGTATTACCTGTGGCTGCTTTCATGCTACAACAGCAGAGGTGAGTAGCAGCACCAGAGATCAATCGTCTGGCTCCAAAACCCAAAATATTTACTATCTTTACAAAACACTTTTCCACTCTTGGTCTAGGAGGATGTACAAAATAAGTAGGTGAGTATATACCTTTGGTGACACAAGTGGGACAACTGTAAATAGAAGAATCTAAAGAAACACAGAGAATGGCACCAACTTTGGGTCTTGGAGTCTAACAAGAAAAGCCTTCCAGAGAGTGACCTGGAAGTCCAGATGTGAATGACACAATCCAAGTGAAGGGCATGTGAGCAGAGGGGACAGCGTATGCAAAGGCCTGGAGCGGAAAGGGGAGCACGGTGCCTCCAGGGCTTAGAGGGGTGGAGGGCGGCCAGTGGGAAAGAGCTTGAGGTACAAGAGATTGGGCTGGAGAAAAGAAAAGACAACATTTCAGGAGTATGGGTGTGTTCTTGGAGGGAATGGGGAAGGACCGGAGGGTTCAGAGCAGAAGACTGAGGTGCTGAGGTCATGAGGCAGACATCTCACTTTCTGTCCCTCTCTCACACATGCCCCACCTCTTATAGCCATGCAAAATGTGTCCCTTTCCCCCTCCACTGCGTGCAAGATTTTGTTCTAAGATGGTCTGCCTGAGAGCGTCCCTCCATCCTTCCATCCCCTCCACACCCGTGCTGGTCAAGCTGCATTCAGTGTGAGTGCCCCAGTGTGTTCAATGCACTGTTGACACACATGTGCACCCCTGCAATTGGAAACAAATTCTTCTGGAATGCCTCTCAGTGCCTGGACTGCATCCTGTACATAGCACATGAGAAAGGAAACATCTCCTTCTCCCCATCTGGGTGAGCCGAGCCCTCTCCTTCCTGGTAATTAGACAGAAACCTCCTCTCTCCAATGGTGCTGCATGATGGGAGTTGGTGAATCTCTTTCTACCAGCTGTGCCTCTCAGTGCCTGGACTGCATCCTGTACATAGCACATGAGAAAGGAAACATCTCCTTCTCCCCATCTGGGTGAGCCGAACCCTCTCCTTCCTGGTAATTAGAAACCTCCTCTCTCCAATGGTGCTGCATGATGGGAGTTGGTGAATCTCTTTCTACCAGCTTCAAAGAGAATATCAGCAATTCTGGGAGGAACACAGGGCCTTGACAGCAAGCTCAGAGCCTCCCTTTATGTGGCCTGTCCAACAAGATGATTGCAACGTGTGCTACCGTGCTGTTCTGGCAAGGGCTGCCCGATGCTGACAAGCCATCAGGCTTATGGGTTTGTTAGTTTCCTGCATTCATTGAAAAGGCAGCAGGCACCTCTCTTGATGTAAGCACTTATGACGAGATCCCTGTATGACAACACCAGATGTCATAATAGAGGCTTTGCTCCCTCTAGGGTGAGGCAGAGAAAAACCATCTCCCAAGAGACAGGAAGGAGGCTCTTGTTAACCTCAGCGGTGTGCCCAGAGCCCTCCAGTGCATGGACTTATTCTTTTCTTGGAACTTGCTTTAAGGAATTCAGTTACATCTAAAATGCCCTCCAGTGTTAGATGGATTACCTCCTCGGAGAGGGTCAAGCGTCGGCTGGAAGATAAACACAACCTAACAGGATGCAGTACATCCATTAGGCAGGAACTGTTCAAAACAAGATGGAAACCACTTTGGTGTTCACTCCAGGAACCTTGGCCTTTGAAGGCCTCTCTGGAAGGAAAAGTTGTAGATCAAAGAGATCTGTGAGTAGAAAAGCATTGCACCTTCTCTGGTGGAGAGCTCCTAACAGACACAAGTTATACTTAGCGTGGCTTTTATCATTTAAACTGGGCAGGAAAAAGCCAGAAGTGTGTTTCTGTCTGTGTAGATCTCAGCTGCAGCACTTGGTTACAGAATCAGCTTAGGGATGAAAGAAGTTTTGAAGAAAGACACCAGCATGTCATTTTAAGTGGAGGTTGTTCTTTCCAGTGGCAGCTGCTTCTTCCCAACCAACCTCAGGGGCGGGACATACAGCCCTCCATGTCCTGCTGAAAGAATCATCTTCCAAAAAGGATGGATAATGAGGAACAGGCACGGCAGATGGCCCGGGTCAGTCAGGGTGGGGCCCCGTTAGACCCTCAGAATAGACTTGCCACTGTGTAGAAACTGGACAGCATGGCTGATACAGACAGGGTGACCAGCGGGAATAGACAGGGAGAGGGGACCATGGAATACATTGCAGGCAAAGAGGGGTCCTTTGTAACAGCGGCCTGAAGCCTCGGATCAGAGAAGAGGGAGCCCAAAAGAACGTAATGGCTTGGGAGCAGGTCCACAGCTGGGCAAGGAGGAGCCCAGGAAAGCTGGGCCATGGAGTAATGCAGCCTGTGCCACAAGACCATGCGAAGAAGCTTCACTGGAAGGACTGGGCACTTTGTTAAAATAAACAGTAATCACATTCTGTGGCAGAGAGGTGGCCTTGGGTTGTCCCCACTTCCAGCAATAAGGAGAGGACCCAGGAAGCCAGAGAAAGCCGTCCTGTGGCCATCTGCAGCAGGAGAAGCCCGTCCAACCCTGCGACCGGGGGAATGAGAGATCCCCGGTGATGGCACCTGGGCCCACACAGACAGTGGCTCCTCCTCCAGAAGCTCATGATCTGTGGAGACAGCATCTTGTATGTGCCTGAGCAACTATTAAGTTAAAGTGTACAGAATTTACCCATTCATTTTTTTTCTTCTTAGTTACTTTCTTTGGTTACTTTCCAAAACCCCCACAATGGGTGAACTCAACCACACATCCAGTTTTGATGCTGGGGTGAGGTAGAGGATCTCAACCCTGGCTGCCCACTACAGTCTGTGGAGCTTTTAAACACGCCGGTCCTCAGACTCTGCCTCCCCCCACTGCTGTTGGTCTGGGACGAGGCTCAGGCACAATTATTTTTCCAAGCTCCTCCAGGTGACTTTCACCTGTAGCTAGGGTTGAACCCCTAGGGAAGGTGTTACTCGTAGCTGAATCTTTGAGGGACAGCATTCATATAATATAGTTAGGGCTTCTCAAACTTGAAAGTCTATACAGATATCCTGTGGAACTTGTTAATATGCAGATTCTGATTCAGCAGGTCTGGGGTGGGGCTGAGTTGCTACTGGTCCTCGGATCACACTTAGAGCAGCCAGGATGTGGCTGACACAGTCTAGTGAGCAGGTTGTTGGGACAGCCTGCCTCACCCGTGCTCCTGCCATCTCTGTTGGACAATGCTGGCTCCTCGAAGCCCAACTTTTCCTTAAGGCTTTGCTCAAATGCCAGCTCTCGCTGAGGTCACAGCAGTCCTGCAGTCCTCCATGCTGGAATTAACCTCTCCCCATCCCATTCTCCTAATGCCATGGCTTGCAACTTCCTTAAAATGCAAATTATAATACCATTTTAAGTTACTTATATTCTGCTGGCTATTTCTGCTATGCAATTGTGAGACCCTGGAGGAGGAAAACATATCTTGTTCGTCTTTGTATCACCCACAACACCTACTACCATACTTTACAAAAAGTGGAGAGAATCTTGAAGTATTTACTGAATTGAATTTGCAGAACCCCATTATAGGTCCCATCTTCTACTTGAAAGTTATTTTTTAAAAAGTTGGGGAGACCCAACCTTTGATGTTGCAAATACAAACAGAACAAAGCAGCTTGGTTTTCAAATGAGATGAGTGACCAGTAGACGGACTGACTGAGAACGTTATCTGTGCAATGAATGTCAAAGAAAGAGAAGTTAAATAGCTATTGATTCAATTCCCAGTGCTCACGAGCTGTTAAAGGAAGTCACTTCAACTGGCGCTCAATTAACTTTGTGCACAAACACAGATGTGATGCAGCAAACACCAACAACAAAAACATATATGAGTTTGAGGGAGGCTCCCGAACTGCTTTGGCTGCTATCCAAGAACTCCTCAGATGCCAGTTGAAGGGGACATCTCTTGGGTTGAGGGAATCACAAGAAAAACAGTTGGTACAAAATTCAGTTCTGCTTCCAACTCCTTTGGCTCTGAACCAAAAAGAACCCAAACCACAGTGGCACAGTGAGGGAAACAGAAGAGGGAATGGCCTGGTGCCTCTTGGGATGGTGTGCACGTGGGTTTTCCAGACTCACAGGCACCACCAACTGATCTGAAGAGACCAGTGACTTTTAGATGCCCAGCCCTGGATCCCCTGAGGTCTTTGTAAATTACCCAATGCGGTGGGGATACGTGGAAAGAAAAAAAAATTTGGAAATCACTTTTAAAAGGATGGTTTGGCTTAAATACTTAAATAAAGATCCTGCCTCCCTGACAATGACTGAATAATACTCACGTCAATCAAATGAACTATGTGATTGTTGCCAAAATTTAGAGCAACCTTCTCCTTTTCCCTGTCCCTCCTATAAGTAATAAATCTCCTTCTTCCTTCTTGCAGGCTCTGTTTCTGCTCCACCGAGCCCCAATTCAATTGTTTTTGGTTCAACATCAAGTCAACAGCTATTAATGTCTACTACTCTGCCGTGCTAAGAGGTTTCAAACCCCTATGTCCAAAAGTTGGCCTAAGTATAAAAGATTTAAGTAGAAATCCAACATAAAAATAGGAGGGATGCATGGATCCAGTTAGCACATGACTGAGCCTTTGAATCGATGTAGAAAAATCATATAAGGAGAAGAAAATTTTCATTGCTTCATCCTTCGTATTTATTTGGTCTCCATACAAAAAGCTACATAATAAAACACTGAGAATTTCATTTTAGCAATATATGGTGCAAATAATGAACAAAGTGAGGCTCGTACCTGGTCCTGGGGGGCCTCTCATTCCAGGGAGCCCCATGGCTCCTTCTGGTCCTCTTGGGCCTGGCACCCCAGGAAGCCCTGGGATTCGGGGGCAGGCATCCACATCTGCTGGTGGCCCAGGTTCACCTGAAATTGGAATCACCGCTTGTGAACAAGCTCCTTCTGCATTCTCCAGTTAAAGATGGATTTCTGACACTATGCTCAAATGTCAACACAAGTGTTCAACAACCCAGTGTAAGTTCCATGAAGGCAGGAGCATGTCTTGTTGACTGTAGTGTACATGATAAACTTTCAGAAAGCATTTGTTGAATAAACATATGGATGACTGATCAAATGAGTGAATGAATTATCACAGGAAGCAGGAGGAGGATGAAATAGTAAAGGGTGGCTGAGACAGCAATCATTTAATGACCTTCACAGGATTTCCAATTCCTAGGCCATTTTTTACTGGGGTGGCAGCCACAGGTGGCATTGCAAGAGGGACAGGTGGGTTCCTAAAGCCCAGTTCAATGCATCCCTAATTCATTACTGTACATTGCAGCCAGGGGAAATTCCATAGTATCAATTACTCAAATAGAATTTCAGGATTGCTGGGGGTTCTAAAGCAGTGACTTTCAGCCTTGAGCGAATGTTGACATTATCGAGGGGAGTTATAAAAATATACTGATGCCTGGACCCACCTCCAGAAATAGTGGTTTACTTGGTAATAGGACGAAGCCTGGGCAATGCCCTCAACTTTGGTTGCACGATAAACCCAGCTGGGGAGCTTTCAAAAGTACTGATACCGAGACCCCATGTAAACTTATTAAATAGGAATTTCTGGGGGTAGGACCCGGGCATCAGTATTTTTTTAAATCTCCCCAGATGATTCCAGTGTCAGCAGGGCTGAGAAACACTGCTGTAAGTCTGTAGCTCTGACTTCAGCATATCAGAATTGTGTGACTAGTTGTTAGAAACCAGAGTCTCTGAATCAGGAGGTCTGAGGTGGGGCCCAACGTGTGCATTTCTAGCATGTTCCTGGCTGAGGCTGATGGCATCAACCTGGGAATCTCACTTTGAGAACCACTGCTCTGAAGGTTTGAAATTTTTTTCTTCTTGGCTCCATTCCCATCAAGACATTTTTCCTAAAGCTCCATTCAGTCACCCTGCAAACATCCCACAAAAGACAAGAAATAATAACACTGAGCAATAATGATGACCTTGAACACTTACTGAACTCATTACCATGTATCGGGCCCTGTGCCAAGTGCTTTACCATTAAACCCTCCCAGCAAGACTGTGTGCACGTGCTATTGTTAACAGACTGTTAAGGATAAGAAAACTCAGGCTCAGCTCAGTAAATGACACATCCATGGTCACACAGCTAATATGGCAGAGTCCAAATTAAAATCTAGTAATTTCTGGTTCCAAACCCACACTCTTAGCCACCACTTCATACTGCCTCAAGAACTCTTAATATCTGTATGATGAATTTTAAGAAATCCAACATATTTTGAAACATATATTTGATTACTTATGGTTTTTTTTAAATTCATACAAATGTGCATAATAATTTTAAGAACAGCAATGATAAAGCAGTAAGAAAATCCTAGAAAAGATGTGGCCATAAAAACAAAGTTTTAGTCTACATAATAATGTGCTAAATGGACTTGAAGCTGTGTAGAATTTAACCCCTTGTAAAATATGGTTTAAACCACAAGCAACACGGGGCCAGATGTGTTTTTATAGTACGTACAATTTAATGTAAACTTGGCTTCTCCACTATGGGTGACTTGAGAGAGACGCATGGGAACCTTTCCTGTTTTCCCTGAGAAATCTGGGCCTTTCTCAGTGGTGGTGGAGTGGCAGAGGGAGGGGGACATTTGGCTGGTATTTCATATTTAGAATTTTGATGTTATCTTCAAATAATTTTATACATACAATCACAGGATTGAAATGAAAACTCATTAAATATACAACTTAATTTTTTAAATATAGACATTTAAAACAGCAGGATTTTTTTTTTAGTGTTAATTTTGCTTTTCTTTACTTTTCAGTAAACTAGAGGCTGAAAGAAAGGAGTTGAGGCCTGTCTTCCAAGGACCCTAAAAATAACATATGATGTCTGTATCCAGGGCAGTTTTCATCAAGTTTGAAACAGATGCCTGGAAGGAACAAACGCAAGCATCAACAATTTTTCTTTTCCTTTTCTTTTGAGAAACGCTTTTTATTCTCTTAGAAAATGCCAGACACAAAATAATATGTTGATTTTGCACTGCAGAGTATTAATCGAACATTTTCTTTTTAACACACACAAAAATGTGCTCCTTGAAAATAGACTTAAGGGTGTGATAGGAAAAGACTTGTCACAGCTCCTGACTGGAGTGTTAAGAGCCCATCTTTTACAGTGGTTGATAGTACTTATTGTAGGGATGTCTTATGTATTTATATTGTAGAACTTACATTGGTTTGTACGTAGCATTTAACAGAGAAAGCACTTGTACTTCATGCCCTAATTGAAATTATATAAGTGGAGTATCTACACTGCCTTGACAATCCATAATGAAGCGTGGCATTAGGACACTCTAATATGAGGTTATTAGATCTGTAACAAGGAAGCAAACGCATGAAAACCTAATATAGCATCCCATCTACAAAACTGTAACAAAGTTTAACTCACAAATATAGTAAAAAAAAAAAAAAAAAAAAAGCAAGTCCAGAAAAAACTAGAAACCAGATTTAGGGGAAATTATCAATTTTATAGCAGTGCTTACCTCTAGAACCTGGAGAGATCCAAAGCCAAAAAACGAGGTCATGCAATGATTTTCACATGGTGGAGAGAGATGTCAAATTTATGAATTAGGACAAAAATGGAATAGATGGCTTGAGAACATAAACAATCATTTGGGACAATGACAAGCAGAATGACAGTATCTTATTTGCATAAAAAGTCCACATCAATGTGACTGACAGGAGCAGTTATGATTTAGTAATAGAGTTTTCATCTCTAGGAAGATTTGAGATGAAATTCTCCTAAGCAATATAAAATTCTAGTTTATGTCTTATGGCAAATATGCCCTAATTTAATGTACATAAGAATTCTGTCCATGTGAAGGCTTCTGAACTGACACCACTTTACCATAATATTGATTTAGGATCTTGAAAGTTATTGCTTCTGCCTGTCTCAAATGCACATGTCTGTTTGCCCTTTATCTTCCCGGTGCTTCCTTGGTTTATTTGATCCTATGATTTAAAAATGTTGTCTATAGAGTTAAATTGAATAGCCTTTCACCTTCATAGGAACTAATATACTTTGCAGAAAAAAAGTTAAATAAAACATCTAGGAAAATCAATGGGAATTAGGAAACAGGAATTGAATATACAATCCTAGCAAACAATAATCAAATGAGTCTTAGCCTCTTGTGTGACAGAACACATATTTATTTCCCTTAGAAATATTATATGTAAAATCAACTCCTAATTTTCAGACTTACTCATTATGATAATAAATATTAGTTTACCAAACATTAGACTTTGTAGTACAGCCTGAAATAAATATACTTTTTATGTCAGAGAAGGCTTAACTCATAAGAACGTACTAATAATTTCAGAATTAACTACTTTCTGAAAGATGACCATCATAGTAAATGTTTAAACAAAATGCAGTGTAGGTCGCTTAGTGGCGATGACCATTCATTTGAAACTTACCTGGAGGACCAGTGGGCCCTTTTCTGCCCGGAGGTCCAGGTAAACCCTTCTCTCCAGGTGGCCCAGGAAGTCCATGTGGCCCTGGAGGACCAGGGAATCCCATTGGTCCTAAAAGAAACATAAAATGGGGACACTGGAATGAGGCAATATAAAAATAATTACAGTTTGATTGACTGAATTCAGAGATTCACTCCAACAAAATACAGGGCAAAGTCAGCCTTAGCGTTGAGATTAGATTAGTCTCACTTTCTTGTATAAGGCTGAGAAGGACTGCCTCTGCCTGAAGGAAACATACTGATCAATCAAAAGGATTAAGAAAAATAGTTCCATAATCAAGACAAAACTAAATTCGAATGAAAAGTCCAGTAATCCTGAACTTTCTCTGCAGACAAAGAACTGGAACTGAAGGGAAAATAAGGAAAGGGTCTTTTATATGTGGGGACAACGTGCCTCCCCAGCCCAAATGCATACCACTGTCTCCTGCTCTCTCTTTGTTTCGACCTGTGTTATTTATATAGCATGCTATTTCCCCAGTTCTGAAGTGTGTGTCCAGGTGGAGATTCATTCTCTAGAGTAACAGCCAGGCAGGAGGAGCGTCAGCCAGCCCTTCCTCATTCCTCTTCATGACTCGAGTGCTAGCATGTCTGCACAACTCGAGATTCAATAATTGGAAGCCCACATCCCTACAGATATAAGATACATTCTCTAACATTGATTTTATTGCTAATAAAGGTGAAGAGGGTTGCTGTGCACTGTTGTACAGGTTGTATACTGCACAACTCCAGGGAGGTCATTTGTGCTATAGTCATGGCAGCCTCCTGGTGATTTTCATCTCCTCTCTGCCCTAATCTTTTGCCTTATTTCACATTGGCTCAGAAGTCAGGCAGGGTGCATGCGGTATTGGGTTCCTTTTGCAAACTTCAATAGTTGCTTCCCTGATATTTAGCTTCTTATTTATGAAACGAGAGTGTTAAACTGGATAATCATTATGGATCCCTTTTCAACAAAAATATTCTATGAACCTATAACACTCTGAAATTCTGATAACCAAAAACTAATGTCCACAAATAATAGCAGATGAGTAAAAATAGTTTAGCCTTAAATAGTGGGAAAATTCAGTAATGAGTATCCTTTCATGAATATAAAAAAGCAAAGTCGGCACTCCAAAACTGAGCTGTTCAGTACAGAAGCCACATTTGAAATATCAGAGCCCAATCCAAAAGAGAATTCCAAGGAAACAGCTCAAATCCAAAAACAGCATTGACATATCAGGTAAGATGTGACTCTTCTAGGAAGAAAGGGGACAGGAGATGGGTAAACACAGTCTGCCCTGGGCCAGTCCAAACTGTGGTAAATATTGTGTGGTAAATATAAAATACACATGGGATTTGAAAGGTAGGAAGGAAGAGTGGATTATTTGGGAGAGGAGCTAGGTTTGCCCTATCGGCTAGATTATTTCATTGATAATTTTATAATTGATTATATATTAAAATAATAATATATTAAATGAAATAAAGTATGAAAATTAATTTCCGTTGTTTCTTTTCACTTTTTAAAAATGTGACTTTTCCATTTTTATATTACACATGCAGCTTGCATTATAGCTCTATTGTTCATTTCTGGTCTAGAAGATAACAAGGATGTTATTAAGGTCTAAAGATGAACTTGTGTTTCTTCTTTTTATTTGTCCAACTTTTACCCAAACTTCAGGACTCTAGGGAAGTCAAGACATTTTGGAAATGTAGCCACTGTTTCCATAGGAAATAGGTGGTGCAGCACCCCAGACCCTCAAGGGTAATACAACGAAAGTTCTCACGGACAACTTAGGGAACAGTTTGCATTCATACCTTTCTGGCCATCTTTTCCATCACATCCTGGGAAGCCTTTGCATCCTGGAGGGCCTGGTGGGCCAGGGGGACCCGGTGGCCCTGGCAGACCACAGTCACCTGGCTCTCCTTTCAGAAGGTGAACAGTCCCAGGTGGACCTGGAGGCCCTGGCGGTCCTGAACCCAGGGAGGAGGCAAAAATATTCTTTCAGTCAAAGACAAATGTGTATACTGCCTACCTGAGAGCTTTCTCAGAAGAGTAATTTAATGATTTGCAAGCAAGAAATGGAAGGAATTAAAGCAATAAGAACATCAATAGTATCAGAGTGAAACAAGAATACATCTCATGGCGTGCAAGTTGAGAAATGGTATAGATAATGGGTTAGCAATTGTCAAACAAAATGAACCTAAGCGAAACCTTCTTTCCCTGCTGAAAGTATCAGTTTAGGGTTTTTGTTTGCACTGTCATCTCATTACTTCAATAAGGTGGTTGGATGGGTGGATGGGTGGAGAAATAGGCTTTTGAGAAAATATGATTGATGGGAAAGGATGTTCATTCAATTAAATTTATAATCCTATTAGAAAACAAGTGTTAATACATGGGAATGAATTGAGCCCAAATTCTATTCCGACTTATTTTCTATACTTAGCACATTTTTGAGTGCTTTTATTTTTCTCAGTGTACCATCCCATTCTCACTAAAATCCTAAAGATTCAAAGACAGTGGGTGTATGTCTCTGAAGAAGAGTTCTATGCATTAGCATGAACGTGACTGTCAGCAGTTAGCAAGACGTCGCACTGAGCCACGCTCTCCTCCCAACTCCCAAGCCAGCTCCAGTCTCACCCTGCTTCGTTAGCTTAGTAATTACTTCCAACATCTTGCCTTACTAGAGTTCACCCCTGTGAAGTGACGATAGGGACAACATGAACCGTAGCAGCACACAGAGAGACTGTTTCTGTGTGTACAACAGGCCTGGGTCCTGTCGCTCTGGGCCAGTGGCAGTGGCTTCTGTGACAGGTGCCAGACACCCACAAGAAGGCTGAGATTCCTTCCTGCTCATCACTTCTGAAACCTCATGTTCAGCATCAAGCTAGCGACGGGCAATGCTTGCTCTAAGCCAGTTTGCGTCCATGGAGAGGTGGCTTAGGAGAGTGAGTGGGCCCAAGTTCTACACCTGGAGATGGCCCTGAGAGCCCACCACTAGCCACAGTCAGACACCAAGTGGGTCTCACTTAGCCATCTGCCAGATTGACAGGGCTGCCCAGAGGTTTCTACTCTGTTTTCTGGCCTTACATCCCTGTACAGCTGGCAGCATCTAACAATGGAACACTGCCATCCTTTGCCATGATTTTTTCATACCTCTTGGGCCATCAGGGCCAGGAGGCCCATGATCTCCAGGTGGACCAGGGTCAGGAATGTCAACCTCAGGAGCTCTTCCTGTGGCACCTGCAGGACCAGGTGGTCCTGGTCTTCCTGAGGAGGGACATGTTCAGATGTTAGCCCTGCATTTGGAGGGGTTTGATTTAATTGTTAAGAGAGGGCCAAAGCATGCTGCTTTTTACCTGGGGGGCCTGGGTGACCTTTTTCTCCCGAGAGCCCTGGAGGAGAGATTCCTGGGCTCCCGGAGTCTCCTGTCTCCCCTTTCAGCCCAGGTATTCCCACTGGACCAGGCGGGCCCACTTCATGCAAACCTTAATGGGGAAAAGAGCATTAATCCTGCATCTTCTACTTGCTATTCTCCTTCATGCTGTCTGGAAAGGAACCACTTCCAATAGGCGTGTGGCAGAGAAGTGGCTCATTCTGCAGAAACCAGCCACTGACTGCAGTGGTGATCCAAATGGCTGCATATTATTCCTGGGTAGCCCTCTCTCTCTTACGACCCATCACACTGGTGAAGTGCAGGTTTGATTTCTTTTATGATCATTTCCCAGATTAAAAGAACAACAGCTTAGTGACAATGCCAACCCTCCAACATCTACAATAGAGTGAAAACAAATGAGATACAGCAATAAATAATTATAAATTAATTGCTTTAAAATTTCAGGTAGAAACTGGCACAATTAGAATTAATTATATTATATTATAATTAGAATTTCACATTAAGAAGGGAGAACATCACGGGTTTTTCAAAAATCAAACTTCCAAATAATTTTTTTAATTAAACTCTTTGGAAGAGCCACTAAATGAATCCTAAGTGACCTAAATTACTTCTTGCTCTTCTAAGCTGTATAAAGCCTTTGTCTCTCTCCAACAATAGATTCAAACCTAGCAGCACAATTCAACCTTTTCCCCAGTCACTCAAATCTGCATGTTCCAGCTACTTTGTCTGATTATAAGCTCTTTTTCTGAGAAAGCAATTCAACAAATGTGCATTATATTAATGAAACAAGCTAAAAAGCAGTTGCTGCAGATTTGCCTATTTGTGATTTCAAAAATAACAGTAAATTGTTCAGGTAATTTGTTTTAGCAGTGGCTGTAATGTGATGCTAAAAGTACTAATTAGACCCACATGGTTGTACATGGCATGACTACACTTAAAACAAAACAGTGCAAAAATTAAAACCCCAACTATTTATTTGTTATTCATAACATTTTGAAATCTGGCTCCCTTTAAGCAATTATTCAGAGTACTTTTAGTAGAGAAATAGTCCCAAGCAATACCAACAAAAGGCAGGGTTAACCAACCATTCTTTCTTAAATAAGCGTTTCTCAAATGTCCTTTTTATATAAGTCACCATCAGCACTAAAAATGGTTCCCATACTGTGTCTCTGACCTGAGTCAGTTTCTTAGTTTTGCCCTCATCTTGTAAAGTGAGGAAATACCAGGGGAAGGTACCACTTTATCTCACAATCCGTTGCTGGAAGCTCAGTTTCTTGCAAACTGTTTTATCTTACCTGAAGTACCTTTGGTTCCTTTCTGACCCTTCAAACCATGCAAGCCATTCAGGCCAGGTGACCCGGAGGGACCTGAAACACACACAGGTCTGTGAGCCACAGGGAAGACCAGTTGCTGTACTCACCCCGGCCTCACTGCACAGGCACCTCCCAGGGAAGGCGCGCTGATGGGGAAGGTGGACAGGGCTCACCCTCTGGATGTCACCATCAGGGCAGGAATCCAAGCCATCGATGAACATGTTTTTTTGCTGGAAGTTTGCTGCCAAGACAGCTTAACACATATGTTTCTTTGGTTTTGAAAGTTCTGCTGTTGGTTTATGACCTATCATGACCAGATATAGTCCAGACTGACTGAATTATGGTGTAGGAAGTGACCTTTGATTTTATGACCAAGAAAACCCATCCAGATAAGGAAAGAGATTAGATGGGAGCAAGGACTCTTACCTCCTTGGCTTGGGGTCTCTCCACTCCCCCCAGATTCTGCAGGTTCTAATTCCTTCCGGATGCCTGTGGCATCCTGGAGTCTTTGCACCCTGCCTAGTTTTATTTTAAGCACTGCAACAGCTCAGGAACGACAGGCTTGCACGTCAAATTTGGCTACAATTTCTCTGCAACCACTTCTTTCAGAACCATTCTGATGCCCTTTTACAGAAACTCTATTTCGTGATACTCCCTGAAAACTCTGGTCTCGGTAAGTAGACACTGTCCCACGGATGCCTGCACCTTCTCTCGGAGCCTCCTGCCACACATCAGGACGGTTCTCTACAGAGACATCTACCAGGCTGCATTACTGACGCTGTCACTGAACCCTGAAGGTGGAGATTTTTCCTTAGGGTTTTCCATCAATATACTCTGGGTTGTGTTTAACTCTCCCACATGAGTTTCCTAACTGCCCAGCAAAGAGTTGGAAGTAGAAGAAAGAAGGCAGGAAAGGAGGAGCCGGAGAAGGAGGGAGAAAGCCAGAGAGGAACACGGCAGATAATCCCCGGTCCCCGAGCCCCGGCCAGTGCCCACCCACGTGGCTTCTCCACTGATGGGGGTGGAAAATGAAGCTGCTGCTCAGCCCCTGGCCAAGCCTGGTGACCATCCCATGTCACTGGTGGGTCTTCCACTCAGTAGCTGTTCTTTCTCATCCAAGACCGAGAGCACAGCCAGCCATTCACTCAGTGTAGGGTCACAGCTCTCAAATCTGGGACTATAATGCTCTCATCTTACGTGACTGAACACGCAGAAAGTGCCCCTCATCCACCCCCATGGTTCCTACGCAGGGTTCCCTTGATCATCTCTGCCTCCCATGCCATACGACAATCAGGTCTTCGGGTGACTGTCTCCCCCAGCAGAGAGCAGGTCTTTCTATCCCCACACTTAGCGCATTTCCTGACACACAGTAGACGTTCAAGAAATGTTTTTGAATGAGGGGCGAGTGAATGAGTGAACGAGAAAATGTGGAGCAAGAAGGGAGAAAGCTGTAAAAAGGAGTGGACTATGATTTCTGTGCGCATGTCACATCCGTCTTTGATAGGTTTATAGGACGAATGTAAATTAGAGAAGTTAGAACTGCCCGTTTGCATATAAATAATTCAAGTGCTGACTACTATCTGTGCATTAAAGCAAGTTGTCTGTGGATTTCTTCTTAGAAGATGGCACAGTTAGTTGGTTCCTTTGTATTGTCACCAGTACTTGAAACAGACCACTGCTATTGTCTTTTTAAGATCTAAACTTTAGGTTGGTGCAAATGAGCCATATTCTTTTGCACCAAAGAAAAAAGGGGAATGTGTCCTTATTTTCCCTGAATCTAATTCCTAACCACTTCGAACACTTCTGGCTTAGTTTACTTTTCAATCCTCTTTCTTATTTTATCAGCCAACATTTCAAGTTTGCACCAAAAGAACACACAGAACTTCTTCATCTGGATATTTATTACAATCTATCTGAAATGACGATAAATTTTTTGAGACCACTTTGCTTTTTCCACGTGTTTTAATCTCCAGCATTAGCCACCAAGATCGATGGCTTGGGGGACTTGGCTCGGGGTGGAACGTCCCAGCTTCTGCCAACTCTCCATTGTCACATCAACACATCCAGATCCTGGGTTGTCACAGTCCCAGCCTGTCACTGTTGCTGAACTGGCCGACCCTTGTCTGACCCAATGTTATCTTTCTAAATTGAATGCAGCTACATCTGGGTAGGGTTTTAAGGGTAATTTTTCCTTTTTACTGAAAGCTTTTTATCAATCCCATCTCTAAATCAGAAAGCTGTTCATGCATGAAATATATACAGTGCAGATGAGAGGCAATTAGGCTAACAAAGCACATTCCTGGGTAATGAGGAATTTTTATTCACCTCTCTGGTTGTCCTCCTGCTTAACAGCCATCATTTGAGGCTGTATCCTGCTGCATGCCCGGGCCGGGTGCTCTCCCTCCGGTCAGTGAATCTAATCTCCACTCCAGCTATAATTGTGGCTTCCATCTGCATTAGACAGCTGACTCTTTGCCACTGGATTCAGAAAAATACATTCTCAGATTGTATTTTATTCTAAAGCCAGAAAAGGCTACTCTACACCCTAGGAGCCTATAATAACGTGACCAACGTGTCCCTATTTGTCTAGGACTTTCCTGGTTTCAACAATGAAAGTTCCACATCCTGATATAGTCTCTCAGGCCCAGGCAAAAGGGGACAGCTGGTCACCTAACTTTAAAGCTGATAGGGAAGAGAGACCTTTGTGACTATAGGTAATGGTTGAAAAAAAACTTGAAAACTGTTAAAAATGATTTCAAAATATGATTTAATTTTTTAAAAAAATTCAGCAAATACATGAGTGCCCATGAAAGGCATAAGATATGGTTTCCTAAGGCACCAAGCTCCAGCCCAAGATGTACCTCGTGACGGGTGCTGATGACACAACAAGGACCAAACAGACAATCACATCAAGTGCAGGAAGTGCTGTGGGGGACAGGGCAGGAGAGGAACAATCTGGCTGTAAAAAGGGAAGAACATTTCTATGACTAGATGCCTTCCTTTTTTTTTTTTTAATTATGAAATTACTTTTATCGTAAAATAAAACATGAATACAGAAAACCAACATATAACTCAATGTATTTTTTTTTTACCTTTACTTGTACATATTCGTGGGGCACAGGGTGTTGTTTTGATTCACGCATATACTGCACAATGATTCACTTAAGTTTCTATGACTTTCATAGCTTTAAGGTGCATGACATTTATTTTCTGATAAAAGACATTTTTCAAGGTGCTTTTTTCTTATAAAATGTTTTACTTGCCACCAAAATACCCAATCCACAATCTGTCATGCTACAGATCGTTTTTTAGGTTTCCATGATTACAATCTTTTATTAATGCCCAACCAGGAACCAGGTGTTTTCCTTTTAGAGGGCATGTGTACTTAAAAATTTAGTCTAGGAATCAAGCCATTTTTAGCATATGTTTAAGTTGAAGTTTAAATCTGATCGAACACAAGCAGGACGTCAAAATCCATATGGCCTGTTCTAGCAGAGCAAACAACTTTGAGTTCAGCAGCTGGTTTGTTCAAACAAGATAAGCAGCCCCCTGGACTTATTTAGAACATACCTCAAATATTTAGTTTCTCAGTTCAAAGTGTTTCTGCTGGAGTGTGGTTCATTTTTATATCAGCATGATAAGCTGCAACAAAGGATTTATACTGTAGATGTTTTAATTTTTAGGAATGTATTTCACTGTGTTGTTTTGTTTTTTTAAAGACTGGCGTTCCCTGGGCTGCTTGCAGTGAAATAGTGTCACTGCATGGTCAGTAAGCACTACTGCAGGATCTGCCACACGTGGCGTGGGGATGTGGGTGGCTGTATTCATTTCCTCACCTCTTCTTAACAACTCACTATTTCATAGCACAGAATTATGACTCGATTGGAGATTACTTTCGAGTGATTTTATTATGGATCAAACTCATTAGCTTTTAGTTTTTTAATAGCATGTCATGCTGAAGTTATGTGATACATGCAAACTAATTCAAGGGAGAGAAGAATCACCAAGAGTAAGACAAGCCTTGTCATTTTGGTCAAACTAGGTGTACATTGTTACAGCACCAACACTCCTGAAAATTCTTGCTGTTTTACCAAACGGGAAGGGTCAGAGAAAGGAGAAATACAGTAGGAGTGATTCATAATGGGAAATGTTTTCTCTTGGTTCTTTACCATCTTCATCTTCCAGACACACAAAAAAGTCAAAGAGTATACCACAAGGGCTATAGAGATTGCCAGAGAAAGGAAATGGCCACGATCAACAGAGACACTTTTTAAAAATAACAGAATGATCATTTTGCTCGAAACCCTAAATTTATCATGAATCGCTGAATTTCTCATTACTAAAAATGTCAGTGAAGAGATGAAAAACAGTACAAAGTCATCTCATCTTGTGATGGGAACTTTTTCCATCAAGTTATTTGGTTGCAAGGAAATACCTGAGTGCACCAACTCTTCAAAATAAATGGCTTCCCTCTCTGCAGAATTGCAGCAAGTGATACACACCACACTACGACTTGCTAGGAAATTGCAGTAATTCAAGAGCCGTCTGATAAGTAGAGAGGGGATACTGTGGACAAATAGTATTTGGATTTTCAAAACAATAAAATGATTAATCCCAGCAGAAGGGGCTTCCAACTCTTCTGAGAGGAGGTACTTTTCATTTTACCAAAATTTAGTATATGTGTAAGTCATAAGCAGAAGGCAAGTGGGAGGAAAGGGAAGAAAGTAGAGAGAGAGAAAGTTTGGCTACAGGAATCTACCAAGTAAGGCCTGAAATTTCAACTGTTGGTTGAGGTGAACAACCCCAAGCTCATAGCTCCTAGCTCAGTTGTTCCGTCTTCTATTTGCCCATCATCCATTCCTACCACTAACCAACGTAATGACTGGGCATCTACTGGGTGCCAAGGATACAAAAGGGTCCTTGCTTTTAAAAAAATCATATCCTATTTAGTGAGAACAGCCTCTAAACAAACAAATGCGATACAGCGTAAGTGTTATGCTAGAGGTTTGCATACAGCACCCATGGCAAGAACACTTTTTCTAAAGTGGAATAAATGTACTGAAGAGGGATAAATACCATGGATGAATGACAGGGCATGAAGATTTGTTAATAACAAGTGTTTATTATATTATATTATATTATATTATATTATATTATATTATATTATATTATATTTATTATATTTATTATATTTATTATATATTATATTTATTATACAAATAATACAAATATATAAATAATATGTTTATTATATATTATATATTATATTTATTATATATTACCTTGTATCATATCATATCATATCATATCATATCATATCCAGACTTATAACCAGTCCACTATTACCTCTAAAGGCCAAAAAGTTCAACCAGGAAGAGTGTTTCTTTATCTGACAAAGAGATAATGAATACTAGTTACTCTTTCTATATAGCACCTAATTCTTTTCTCTTTCTTCCACTTATCCACAATTGGTAAACATTTATTTATTCACGTGTATTTTTTCATGTCTGTCTATCCTACCAGAATGTGAGCTCTATGAAGACAGAAAACATGTCTATTTTCTTGAAAACTGCACACCCAGCATCTAACACAGAATCTAGGACATAATAACAGCCTAACTATCTGTGGAGAGAATAAATGAATAGGCCTGAACATCATGAAACACCCTGGATAAACGCCCTCAGAAATGGGGTGGTGACAGCACCTTTCTGGAAACTCTCCAGCAGAAGACAGTTCAAGCTGGAAGGGCGCCGCCTGGAGCCCTAGGTGAGGAAGAGTGGGAGCTGCTAATGGCATCCTTGGGGAGAGCAGTGTCCCTCGCAGGAACAGGAAAGCACCATGAATTTGCCCTCATTGGGCTGGATCTTTCTAACTTTCTAGTCCTACTTTCCTTTTGACTTACCTTTCATTCCTGGAGGACCTGGTATCCCTGGATCCCCCGGGAGGCCTCTTGGCCCAGGGTCCCCCATTTCTCCTGGACGTCCCTTCAGCCCAGGCATCCCTTGATCACCTGAGGACAACAGGGAAGTTTTGCAGACATCCAGATGATAAAGGAGTTGCATTCACTGGGAAAGTCTTCTAGGTTCTTAATAACCCAGACATTGTTTTATTACTTTTTCTTACTAGACCTCTTAACTCTAGAGATAAAAACACACAACTTCGGGAGAAGAAAGAAAATACACTTCAGAATGATTGAAGTCCTCCCCCCCCTTTTTTTTTTTAAGTTTTCCTCTTTTTTTTTTTTTGAATCAGCAGGAAAAAGATCCATTTAATAGTGTGCTGTAAGTGCGACATTTGCGTCAGCATCCTGAATGGCAGGTGGAATGGGAAGGGCTGGGCAGGAGCTTCTATCAGACCATCACCTGGCACCTGGTGCCTGCTGGGCTCTCTGCAGGTGTTGTCTTCTCTTATTCCCAGTCACACAGTGTAACCCAAGGATATAGGACAAGCAGTATAGGTGAGAAATAGGTAAGTTTAAATGACCTGTCCAAAGCCACTTCTGGGAAATGGCAGAGCCATATGTGAGCCTCAGTCTAAGTGAAGATTGGCTCTTTCCAATACAAGAGAAACGTGAATGCTCAGACTTTCTTTCAAGGTACCTGGACACCCTGGTGGTCCAGTAGAGCCAGGCAGTCCTGGCTTTCCGGGTGTTCCTCTTGGCCCTTGAGCACCAGGCATGCCCTGCTCTCCGGGGGCTCCAAAATGCCCTAAAGAAGGAAGAGTCAAATATCAGAGTCGGTGGAGATTGTTCTTTGAGACAGTGAATCTATAAAACTGCCAACTTCAGCCATCACTATTGTTTTCTACCCTTACTTTCTCATATTTAAAATGTTTCTATCAAAAATAAGATAACACTAAGGTAAAATTAAAAACAAAATGCTCATAATCCTACCACCTTAACACAGTTTCCATATGTGCACACATGTGTAAATAATACCCACAATTTTACATTTTGATTTTTGCAATTAGCATTGCATCATAAGTAATTTTCCAAGTTTGTCATGGTTTTCCTAATTATTATTTTTAAATGACTGGCTGATAGGTTACTGAGCCAATCTTAATTAAATGAATTAATTTAAGTTTCTCCAAGATATTTCTAATTCTTTGCTGTTATGTATAATGATCTTTATACATCTTTAATCAATTTCTTTCTCCTATGGAATTATTTCCTTAGGAAAATTCCTAGTAGTAGAATTTCTAGGTAAATAGTATGTAATATTTTGGTTCTTTTAAATGCATTTTTTAATGCTGAAGTATTGTAAAGTAAATCACAGCCATCATGGAATTCCATCCCTAAGTACTTCAGGAGGTAAGTCTGAAAAGTAAAAACATTTTTCCTACATTGCCGAAATAACATTATCACAGCCAAGAATATTAATAGCGATGCTTAATACCATCTCATGCTCTTTCCATACTTGAATTCCCCCAGTTGTCCCCTTAATGTCCTTCACAGTTGGTTTGGCCACACTAAGTTCCATTCCAGAGTTACACATTGCATCTAGTGGATGTGCCTCTCAAATTTTAAAAAATCTATATCAGTCCCTTTCTCATGATAGTGAATTGCCAAAGAAAACAGGTTCATCTCTAGTGTTCTAGAATAGACAATTCAGCATGTGGTTCTTGCTACAGGTTGCCAAATTGTTTGGAGTAAGTGCTGCCCTGACTTTCACCACTGGCAGCTCCGTGATCACGAGCACACCATGCTCTGACTGAGGACATTTTAGTTGTTTGGCTTGTTTTCTTGCTGATTGAGTAAGGATAAACTGGTATTTCAAATGCTTTACTTACATTTCTTTGATTACTAAAGAGGAGGAGAATTTCCCCGTGTGTTTATTTACAATGTGTGAATTTAATTCATATTTATAGGATAAACCAATAGTCTATGCTGAAAATCACTGGTTGAACCTGCAAACAAAATTTATGGTTCTGTATTTACAAACCCATAAAGCGAGTATAGTCATTATTTATCACAACACACATGAAACAAGCCTATGTTAGTCTATACCGGTTTCCCAATGGGATTTAACATCTATTAGCCTCACCATGTGTTATCTTATTTATCCTGAAAACATTCCTGCAGTAAAGGTAAGGCAGCATTATTCTCACTTCCAAAGGAAAAAACTAAAGCATTAAGAGACTTGTCTCCCAAATTTGCCATTGTGTTAACTCTACTTCTGAGTTAATCTGTAGTGTATTTTCTTTTTGAATTCAAGGGGAGTGAGTGGGGGAAATTTACCGAACCAAGTACAATCATATATAACCCTGAGATAAGCTGCAGATGTATGCCTTCTCATTAGGCTCATTCAAATTCAATGCAGCTTTTTCCAGTCCGTGGAAATAGCGTATTTAGGTAAACTCTGTGCTGGCGAATAACATAGATCATCTAAAAATTCCAAGCTGAAGTCGTGACATACAGGAAAGGGAAAAATTTAAATAGTGGTAACCATAGGAGACCAGGCAAATTAGGCCAAGGCAAATTCTTTGAAAAGGTCAGCCTAAGTGTAAAATAACTCAGATTTATGATTTTTTAACTGAAAATACTAGGTAACATCAAAGGCCCCTCTGTTGGACTACTTTGAATGTATAAAATGTTACTAGNTTTCATTTTACCAAAATTTAGTATATGTGTAAGTCATAAGCAGAAGGCAAGTGGGAGGAAAAGGAAGAAAGTAGAGAGAGAGAAAGTTTGGCTACAGGAATCTACCAAGTAAGGCCTGAAACTTCAACTGTTGGTTGAGGTGAACAACCCCAAGCTCATAGCTCCTAGCTCAGTTGTTCCGTCTTCTATTTGCCCATCATCCATTCCTACCACTAACCAACGTAATGACTGGGCATCTACTGGGTGCCAAGGATACAAAAGGGTCCTTGCTTTTAAAAAAATCATATCCTATTTAGTGAGAACAGCCTCTAAACAAACAAATGCGATACAGCGTAAGTGTTATGCTAGAGGTTTGCATACAGCACCCATGGCAAGAACACTTTTTCTAAAGTGGAATAAATGTACTGAAGAGGGATAAATACCATGGATGAATGACAGGGCATGAAGATTTGTTAATAACAAGTGTTTATTATATTATATTATATTATATTATATTATATTATATTATATTATATTATATTTATTATATTTATTATATTTATTATATATTATATTTATTATACAAATAATACAAATATATAAATAATATGTTTATTATATATTATATATTATATTTATTATATATTACATTATATCATATCATATCATATCATATCATATCCAGACTTATAACCAGTCCACTATTACCTCTAATATATAAATAATATATGTTTATTATATATTATATATTATATTTATTATATATTACATTATATCATATCATATCATATCATATCATATCATATCCAGACTTATAACCAGTCCACTATTACCTCTAAAGGCCAAAAAGTTCAACCAGGAAGAGTGTTTCTTTATCTGACAAAGAGATAATGAATACTAGTTACTCTTTCTATATAGCACCTAATTCTTTTCTCTTTCTTCCACTTATCCACAATTGGTAAACATTTATTTATTCACGTGTATTTTTTCATGTCTGTCTATCCTACCAGAATGTGAGCTCTATGAAGACAGAAAACATGTCTATTTTCTTGAAAACTGCACACCCAGCATCTAACACAGAATCTAGGACATAATAACAGCCTAACTATCTGTGGAGAGAATAAATGAATAGGCCTGAACATCATGAAACACCCTGGATAAACGCCCTCAGAAATGGGGTGGTGACAGCACCTTTCTGGAAACTCTCCAGCAGAAGACAGTTCAAGCTGGAAGGGCGCCGCCTGGAGCCCTAGGTGAGGAAGAGTGGGAGCTGCTAATGGCATCCTTGGGGAGAGCAGTGTCCCTCGCAGGAACAGGAAAGCACCATGAATTTGCCCTCATTGGGCTGGATCTTTCTAACTTTCTAGTCCTACTTTCCTTTTGACTTACCTTTCATTCCTGGAGGACCTGGTATCCCTGGATCCCCCGGGAGGCCTCTTGGCCCAGGGTCCCCCATTTCTCCTGGACGTCCCTTCAGCCCAGGCATCCCTTGATCACCTGAGGACAACAGGGAAGTTTTGCAGACATCCAGATGATAAAGGAGTTGCATTCACTGGGAAAGTCTTCTAGGTTCTTAATAACCCAGACATTGTTTTATTACTTTTTCTTACTAGACCTCTTAACTCTAGAGATAAAAACACACAACTTCGGGAGAAGAAAGAAAATACACTTCAGAATGATTGAAGTCCTCCCCCCCCTTTTTTTTTTTAAGTTTTCCTCTTTTTTTTTTTTTGAATCAGCAGGAAAAAGATCCATTTAATAGTGTGCTGTAAGTGCGACATTTGCGTCAGCATCCTGAATGGCAGGTGGAATGGGAAGGGCTGGGCAGGAGCTTCTATCAGACCATCACCTGGCACCTGGTGCCTGCTGGGCTCTCTGCAGGTGTTGTCTTCTCTTATTCCCAGTCACACAGTGTAACCCAAGGATATAGGACAAGCAGTATAGGTGAGAAATAGGTAAGTTTAAATGACCTGTCCAAAGCCACTTCTGGGAAATGGCAGAGCCATATGTGAGCCTCAGTCTAAGTGAAGATTGGCTCTTTCCAATACAAGAGAAACGTGAATGCTCAGACTTTCTTTCAAGGTACCTGGACACCCTGGTGGTCCAGTAGAGCCAGGCAGTCCTGGCTTTCCGGGTGTTCCTCTTGGCCCTTGAGCACCAGGCATGCCCTGCTCTCCGGGGGCTCCAAAATGCCCTAAAGAAGGAAGAGTCAAATATCAGAGTCGGTGGAGATTGTTCTTTGAGACAGTGAATCTATAAAACTGCCAACTTCAGCCATCACTATTGTTTTCTACCCTTACTTTCTCATATTTAAAATGTTTCTATCAAAAATAAGATAACACTAAGGTAAAATTAAAAACAAAATGCTCATAATCCTACCACCTTAACACAGTTTCCATATGTGCACACATGTGTAAATAATACCCACAATTTTACATTTTGATTTTTGCAATTAGCATTGCATCATAAGTAATTTTCCAAGTTTGTCATGGTTTTCCTAATTATTATTTTTAAATGACTGGCTGATAGGTTACTGAGCCAATCTTAATTAAATGAATTAATTTAAGTTTCTCCAAGATATTTCTAATTCTTTGCTGTTATGTATAATGATCTTTATACATCTTTAATCAATTTCTTTCTCCTATGGAATTATTTCCTTAGGAAAATTCCTAGTAGTAGAATTTCTAGGTAAATAGTATGTAATATTTTGGTTCTTTTAAATGCATTTTTTAATGCTGAAGTATTGTAAAGTAAATCACAGCCATCATGGAATTCCATCCCTAAGTACTTCAGGAGGTAAGTCTGAAAAGTAAAAACATTTTTCCTACATTGCCGAAATAACATTATCACAGCCAAGAATATTAATAGCGATGCTTAATACCATCTCATGCTCTTTCCATACTTGAATTCCCCCAGTTGTCCCCTTAATGTCCTTCACAGTTGGTTTGGCCACACTAAGTTCCATTCCAGAGTTACACATTGCATCTAGTGGATGTGCCTCTCAAATTTTAAAAAATCTATATCAGTCCCTTTCTCATGATAGTGAATTGCCAAAGAAAACAGGTTCATCTCTAGTGTTCTAGAATAGACAATTCAGCATGTGGTTCTTGCTACAGGTTGCCAAATTGTTTGGAGTAAGTGCTGCCCTGACTTTCACCACTGGCAGCTCCGTGATCACGAGCACACCATGCTCTGACTGAGGACATTTTAGTTGTTTGGCTTGTTTTCTTGCTGATTGAGTAAGGATAAACTGGTATTTCAAATGCTTTACTTACATTTCTTTGATTACTAAAGAGGAGGAGAATTTCCCCGTGTGTTTATTTACAATGTGTGAATTTAATTCATATTTATAGGATAAACCAATAGTCTATGCTGAAAATCACTGGTTGAACCTGCAAACAAAATTTATGGTTCTGTATTTACAAACCCATAAAGCGAGTATAGTCATTATTTATCACAACACACATGAAACAAGCCTATGTTAGTCTATACCGGTTTCCCAATGGGATTTAACATCTATTAGCCTCACCATGTGTTATCTTATTTATCCTGAAAACATTCCTGCAGTAAAGGTAAGGCAGCATTATTCTCACTTCCAAAGGAAAAAACTAAAGCATTAAGATAGTCATTATTTATCACAACACACATGAAACAAGCCTATGTTAGTCTATACCGGTTTCCCAATGGGATTTAACATCTATTAGCCTCACCATGAGTTATCTTATTTATCCTGAAAACGTTCCTGCAGTAAAGGTAAGGCAGCATTATTCTCACTTCCAAAGGAAAAAACTAAAGCATTAAGAGACTTGTCTCCCAAATTTGCCATTGTGTTAACTCTACTTCTGAGTTAATCTGTAGTGTATTTTCTTTTTGAATTCAAGGGGAGTGAGTGGGGGAAATTTACCGAACCAAGTACAATCATATATAACCCTGAGATAAGCTGCAGATGTATGCCTTCTCATTAGGCTCATTCAAATTCAATGCAGCTTTTTCCAGTCCGTGGAAATAGCGTATTTAGGTAAACTCTGTGCTGGCGAATAACATAGATCATCTAAAAATTCCAAGCTGAAGTCGTGACATACAGGAAAGGGAAAAATTTAAATAGTGGTAACCATAGGAGACCAGGCAAATTAGGCCAAGGCAAATTCTTTGAAAAGGTCAGCCTAAGTGTAAAATAACTCAGATTTATGATTTTTTAACTGAAAATACTAGGTAACATCAAAGGCCCCTCTGTTGGACTACTTCGAATGTATAAAATCTTACTAAATTCAAGGTTTCTATAAAAGTACCAATAAGTATGGGAAAATCTCTCAATGTTTTGCTGACTGATGAAGGTGACGACAATGATTTCACTTTACACTGGTGTAGTAATTTTCAGTTTACCCATTTCTTTCAAGGTATCCCACTTGGTCCTCAGAACAATACGGTAATATGTGTAGGGCCGGTTTACAGGTGAGGAAACAGAGCTCCAAGAAGACACTGCTTGCCCAAGACCACACGCGCAGTAGTGATGGCCACCGACCCTGGGCCACTTTTTTTTCCTTCCTGAGACGTCTCACTCTGGCATTAACTATGAACCCCATAATGCTGACCTCATAACTATTTTCCTTACCAAAGGTACACTTCATTACACATTTTGGTTAAAATATTATATTATCCAAATATATTTGTCGTGTCAGAGGTAGAAGTCCTGTATGGAAGAGGGTGGGAAGGAAGGTGGGAAAGGATTTTTTGCCACTGTAATGCTTGTGTTTCTGTTAGACTTCCATCTTAGCAATCTTATGCCATAACGACAAAGAAAATTTCACATAATATTTCTGCTCAGATATTGTTTCTCTTTTATGAAATGAAACACGGCTATTGCTGGAGGGAATTTTAAGGTAATGCATAATATTATTAATATGAAGTATTTTTTTAATTTACAAGGGACCCTTCTAAGCAGAAACCTGGTTTCTAACTTGACCACTGTCAGCTGAATGCCCTCAGACATAACTTATTTAACCAATCCCCTGCGGGTGGGCTTTTGCTACGTGCATGCAATGAATACCCCTATGATACATCTTTGTACACATGCATGATTATTGACTTAAGATAAATTCCTAGGAGTAAAATTCTTAAGTCAAAGGGTATGCAAATTTTAAATACTGAGGCATGTTTCCATAGGGCCTAAAATGACAGCACTGATTTATACTCCCAACATTTTCTGAAAGGTAAACAGATACAAGTGCAAACCAATAGAGCAAAACATGTTAAGACCACTTTCCCCTCTAGGGGCCCTGTTCTGTGGGTTTGAATGTAAATGATCGTCCTGTCCCTTGTGAAGCATGGAGCTGTCCCAGCATGGCACGTCCCTGCTGCTGTGGGTCATCTAAAGTAGCCTGTGTCACTGGTACAACAACCTGTTCTGAGGGATTCCTGGCTAATTACCACTGATAAACAAA